TTCACTCTCTCACTCACACCTAGGGACAATTTAGAGTTACCAATCAGCCTAACATGCATGTTTTTGGTCTGTGGGAGGAAACCGGAGTACACGGAGAAAACCCACGCATGCACGGAGAGAACATGGAAACTCCACCCAGAAGGCCCCTGGACCGGGGTTTGAACCAGGGACCTGTTCGCTGAGAGGCAGCAGCTCTACCAGTTGCGCCACCGTGCAGCCCTGTTTGGAATGTCCTTTAGGCCAAATCTTTGTCCACAAAGTTCACAAGCAAATGGTTTGTGTCCTATGTGAATTCTCATGTTTGTGTTTAAACTGGCTAGTTGTCTAAATCTTTGTCCACAAAGTTCACAAGCAAATGGTTTCTCTCCTGTGTGGATTCTCATGTGCATTTTTAAATTTGATTTTTTGGTAAATCTTTTGCCACATTCATCACATCCGAATTGATTCAGTATGGTCTCAACTTTACTGCATGACTGTACTTTTTTTTTTTTCACTTTTAGACCTTTTTTAGTAACCAAACCACTTGAAGACTTATGTCTTGAATTACTTTTCATGTTTCTCTGAAGAGATAAGTTGTTGTTGTTGGTCAAGGTAGTGTCTGTTGCTGAAGATGCTGCTTCTCTCTGGTCAGCTGAGCTGCTGATTGGACAACATCTGTCTACCTCTTGGTGTTGATAAAGACGTGACAGTAATAGTTTAGCTTCATCATCATCATCACTGACTTCAGACTTTGAAGAGTTCACATTACCTTCATAAGAATTCAGATCTTGGTTTCTTTTAGTTTCTGCTGCCCCAAAGTCCTCTCTACCTGTGGCTGTTTCCATCTGGACAGCTGCTACTGGTTTGTAGATCTCTCTGTCCTCCAGTTGGTGTTGATGAAGCTGTGAGGACAGAGGTTTCGCTTCTCAGTTGTTTCCTTTTAAAAAGTTACATCAAACACCTTGAATGTCTAAAGGCACAGACCTCTTCCTTGTTGTTTCATCAGTTAGCAAGGTAAAGCTACAAATTTTATTATGCTAAACATTTTTGCTAGTGGAAAACTATAAGAGACTATAACTATAAGAGATCCTTCCTGCCTACAGCCATCAGTATCTATAACATATCTTAATGAAATGAGGATAACGAGTTACAACAACAAAATAATTTCCCTTTAGGATTAATAAAGTATTTTTGAATTTGAATAACTACAGTACACTGTGTGACACAGGAAAAATAAACAACAATAAAATACAAACCTTATATCTGCAGTTGGTGGTTTGGGCTGAAATCAAGTCTGTATGATAGTTTTATGTTGCTTGAGTTTCTTCAAAAGTTTCGGCTGAAGCTATGTTTACATGGACATAATTAACCGGATCAAACGGCCGTTCAGAATAAAAACACGTCTTGTAAACACCCCGTTCGGGTTATTTTTTGTTTATTCAGCGTGATCCGAAATAATTTGTGATCAGAACGAAACGGGTGGTTTACGCCGATTCAAAACTCGAACGGTGCGCATGTAAACGCTTGCTCTGTCCGTTGGGCCTTCTCCTACTCTGCTCCTGTTTCCTGGAATATCTTACAAAAAGATCTGAAGCTCTCGACCTTGACCTCTCTAAGTGTTTTTAAGAATCTGTTGGACTCCTGGCAGGGACCAATGCAGACATGTTCCTGTTTTTAGTTTTCTACATTCGTCTTAGAATCTAGCTGTTTTTTGTTACTTTTTTAGCCATCCTATTTGTTAAAAAAACAAAAAACTGTAGTATGACTTTTTATAACTGTTTATTGTTGTTGCTGTTGTCCATTGTTGTCATCTTTCTTTGTTGAAATCAGGTCTCTCTTGTAAATGAGTCCTCGAGGCTCAATGAGATTTACCTGTCTAAATAAAGGTTGATTGATTGATTGTTTTCTTATGGTGAAGAACTGACCTGACTGCGCATGTGCAACTATGTCATTTCCGCCTGCCTGGCTAATGCTAATAATATTAGCATGTCGGGGAAGTAAAACTGGTAAGTGAGCGACACAGTATTTCTACTAGAAACTTTGAAAGAGCTCAAAATGATCTGTATTATCTGTAGCTCAGTCAGGGAGTGCACTAACGTCTCCACCATCATTAAAACCTGTCGCAGGTCCATATTGAGCGTTCAGGTTTGTTTACGTTCATCCCGGAAGTAAACCGAAATTAGAACTTTTATTTATTTATTTTTTTTCCCGAAAGTAGAACTTCTTCGGTGGTTTTTTTTAAGGAGAGTTTACCACTATATATACTATGTTTGTAATGTATGTATGTAATATTTGATCATTTGATTTAGTTTTAGACATACTTTGCATTCAGCAGCACGGTGGAGCAACTGGTAGAGCTGCTGCCTCTCAGCGAGCAGGTCCCTAGTTCAAATCCCGGTCCAGGGGCCTTTCTGGATGGAGTTTGTATGTTCTGTCCGTGCATGCGTGGCTTTTCTCCGGGTACTCCAGTTTCCTCCCACAGACCAAAAACATGCATGTTAGGCTGATTGATAACTCTAAATTGTCCCTAGGTGTGAATGTTTGTTTGTCTCTGTGTGGCCCTGTGATGGACCTGTGACCCGTCCAGGGTGTACCCCACCCCTCACTCAGTGATTGCTGGACATGGACACCAGCGACCCCCGTGACCCAAAATGGAAGAAGCGGGTAAAAGATAATGGATGGATGTTTTGCATTCTAAAGTTGGTTAAGTGTAGCGGCCATTTTGTGTCATTCAGACTAGGTTGATCTAATAAGTTAAGCAGTTGTAGATGTGCATCCAGTGATTAAACTTTTTTCTCTTTTTTTTTTTTTTTTGTACAGCACTTTGGTTGGCCCTGTCGCGGTTTAAAGTGCTTTATAGATAAAATGGTATGGTATGGTAAAATATCTGTGTAGCTACATCTAAGACAATAGGCAGGTGAATATAAGTCAGCCCATAATAAAACAATTCTGTTCATGATTAAGACTGATCCACTACCTTTCTGATGAAGAACCTGGCATAGAGAATCTCAAGGACAGATGTCAATGCACTGTTCCAACAGAAAGCGGAAGTAATGCAGATTTAAGTTAAAGGTCAAGGTTTTTTTTTTACTTAGATGTTGGGGATGCAGTGTTTCCCCTAGTTAACTTGCCATGGCGGGGTGCTCATCTCATTAATGATTTTGTTGATGGGGGACAGACACTTGTCTGAGCGCAGCTTGTACTAACAGTTTTTGAGTGGGGGCAGGTGGCGTTTAGCATGAGGGAAGAGGCAACATGAGTGCTTCCTAAAGGGTTACTATATACTTTAAATTATTTTCTTTGCACATACTAAATATGTTGCATTTTTTAAATTAGTTTTTCAGATTAATGCAAAGTTCCAGAGTGGCTCTTCCCCTTGAGACTTTCCTGGCCCATCTAGCACTGAAGCCAGGTGATTACAGTCATCCAGGCCAGAGGAGGAGCAACACGTGCAAAAACAACTGGCATCATGAAAACTGATGATGAGGTATGAATGGGGACACAGAGTGAACTAAGTTATAGCTAGTTATTTATTTATTTTTAAACAAAGACGTTAAGATAACTAGTTACTTTCAAACTACCTTTTGTTTTAATTATCAATACCAACAGCACTGGATTCATTTTTGAGGTGGGGGGCATGGGGGCCTTTTGTCACCTTTCACTCTCTGTTCACATGCACCTTGACTGTCACATGCACATGTTAAATTTCGCCACACAGTATTGTAAATGGGTACTTTCACAGTCATAAGATTTGGAAAGTTTGCAACAAAAGTTTTTATTTAGTCTTCAAGTCTGAGCACATTGTTCACCTCACTGCAGGGCAGCAGAGGAGATGATGCTCAGATGGAACTCAAACATCTCACCATGGCAGTGTTTGTGAGTGGAAAGGAGGGAGAGGGGTTGAATGAACCTCCAAGACAGCATCGTCCTTGAGGGAGAGGAGGTGTTGCATGACCTGACTTCAGCTGCCTCAGCATGGGCCCTGCTTCTATATGTTCTGAACCTGGCTTATCCAGAGCCCCTGCCTTCACATCTGAGGTCTTCATCGTGCAACTTGAGCAGCACAAGATGTGCAGCTCCCACAGGTCACGATTTGTTTGGAAGACTTCAGAGCTCACAGTAAAGACACCGACGTACCACAGGTCGGGTTGTCTTCTGTCTTGACTGAACAGAAGAGCTCCATGTTTTGGAAGCTTAAGGTTTTGAACTGGACTTTTTGAACTTCTTTTGGACGTCGTGCACATGAGTAATACGCATGCAGAGTAAAATGTGTTCCTGGTATTTGGGTTTTTATTGATGAGCTTTTGTTGTGCACTTTATTTTAGGAGTTGATCTTTATTTGTCTTGTTCTATAAAGTTCAATCTCTGTGCAGGAGGGGCTGTAGATTAAAACTGTTCAAGAATTTGAGATGTTTTCTCAATAAAATGTAAAATGTTTCATTTGTGCAATGGATTTTTTTTTTTTTTAGCCAACTTGAATTTCTGATTACCATGAAAGTATTTAAACTAAAATGCTCAAACACACATTTGATTCATGTTCAAGCTGTATTTTTAAGTATAAAGTTGCTATTTACTTTTGGATATGTTCCGTTTTTTGATTTGGAACAACTTAAAAAGTTTGAGTTGACTTTCCATAAAATTATGTCAGAAGGATTTGAATTCTTTATATGAAAAAAAAAAAAAAAACTAAATGATTTGAATAAAACTGACTTAAATGTATTAAGTTAAACAAACTTGGATAAACTTAATTGAATTACTTGTTACCAATTGAAACTATTAATTTAAGTTGAATCAAAAATTATTTTTATTTTTTTCAGTGGTCCAAAATCCAGAAAACAGGCCGGACAGAAGCGCAGTGGTGTGCGGTGTAACACAAACCTCCTCCTCCTCACTTTAAAATTCCACACCACCTCATGAAGAACGTAGAGTTTAAATAAATTAAATAGTTCCTGAATCTGATGTCTGCAGGTTTAATGCTCAGACATAAAAGAGTTTTTTCTCTCTCTCTTCTCAAAAATGTCTCAAAAGAGTGGCCAGCCTTCCACACTTGATCTCTCTGAGATTGTGTTGCATCTCTGGAGAGATGAAGAGACTATAATGCATAATAAAAAAAAAAAGCAAAAGACACGAGGAACAATTAAAATAGTGTGAGAAAATAATTAAAATTAACCTGCAGAACAAATAAATTTAAAAATTAAAAGATTATTATTGCACACAAGTAACCTCATTAATAAAAAAAAATACATTCAGATTTCATTTACTTTTCTTGTTTATGAGCTCAATTTGTTGCAGGCCACAAAAAATAAAATAAAAAATTCTGCGCATGCTTGTGAGAGCTTCCAAATATTTCAAGATGGAGCAACAAACAAACCCGGAATCTTTTATTGCTTTCACACATACAGGTCCATGCTGTTCTTATGGCACTTTTCAAGTTGTTTTATAACAAAAGAACACACGTTGGTCCACTAAGTTATTTTTTTATTCAACTGTTTTTGTTGTTTTTAATAGAAACACAAAAAGTGCCTTTCTAATTCCGTATTAAACATATAAAGTTAATAGTTTATTCAGTAACATTTACAGCAAACATGTTTGCAGAGCATTTGATTATAACAACAGTTTGAGTCTTTCAGGGAAACAAAAGAAAGGTCACCAAATAAAGGATTATTTTATTGTATTAGAGTCACAACGCAAAATCGAAATTATTATTTTTGTGGTTGCCCTTTTCGTTTGCTTTGCTCTTCTTATTTCCACATTCAGTGCACATGAACTGATTTCGTCTCCAAACAACAAGAGTCTGATTTGTTTTCTGACACTCTGTTCGTGAAAGCAGCGTTTGACGCGCAGGCGGGACGTTTAATATGGAAACACAACAGGTGCGTTATGACGCACAGGTTCGGTGTAGAATGGCCAGATGAACGCAGGGAAAAGCGGCACATGACGCTCGTTTAAGTCTCTTCTGAACGGCTTACTGAGGATGCTGTCAATAGCAAACGAGCTGGTAAATCTGGGGCATGGGTCAGTCCCGGCGCTGGGGGCAGCTTTATGCGTAATCTGCGTCTCCTCCGCGCTCTCCGACACGGTTGACTCCAGGGTGAACCTCTTGTTGATGCGCTTTCTTCTGCGCCTGAACACTCCATCCGCGAACGTGTACTCGCTCTGGGGGTTGAGTATCCAGTAATTGTCTTTCCCCCAGGGTCTGGACGGGTCCCGGAGCACTTTAAGAAAACAGTCATTCAGGGACAGGTTGTGTCGCACTGAGTTCCTCCAGCCGGTGTAGCTGCCCCTGAAGAAGGGGAACTTCTTCATCAGGTAGTCGTTGATCTCCGCCAAAGTCAAGCGACCAGAGGGGGAATCCCGGATGGCCATGGCGATGAGCGCGATGTATGAAAGCGGGGGCTTGGGTCTCCGTGTGTACGGTTTGGACTTGCTGTTCCCACACGGTGTGGCAGAGGGTGGGGGGCTGTGAGCCACGCAGTCTCCATCCGACCCGAGCTCCTCCTCTCCAGAGGAAGGAGATCGCGTCGTCCCTTGTGCATCACGGGTCACCTCAAAATGTTTCATGTCATGGCTTCCACACAGCACTTCTAACTTCATCCTTCCTGAAATCAGCAGTCCAGAAAACGCAGGAGATTTCTGTGCGTAAAGCTCGTGCGTCAAGAAGGGTAGCGCTTCAAGGAATCTCCAAATAAATGTGTCATTACTGCACACCTGTAGGCACGCTGAAGCCGGTCTCACCTGTTACTGAGCGTGAGCAACCTTTTATATAACTGTCACCTGAGGACCAACCCCAAAAGGGGCGGAGCTAGATGCTTTCAAAAGATTTGGAAAGTCAGACAGCATGTATTGTCAACATGGAGATAAAAGAGAAACCAACATTATCTGATCATTTAGCAGTTACCAGATTTCTATTAGATCAATAATCTCAACACTACATTCAGTACATCTTATTCTCACCTGTGGAATGTGGTCCCTTGAAGAGTCTGAGACTGTTTCACCTGCAACAACCAGGGTGTGAGTCTCCACTGAATGCCACATGCGAATCAAGCAGAAAGCTTTTAATCTTAGGAGGCACAGTAATCCCATTACTAATTCAAAAAAAAAAAAAAAAGAGGAAAAAAGTTATTCATACCTATAAAAACGTTTCTGCTTGAAAGTGTTTTATAGATATATTTATATAAAATTCTTAAATAGGTCCACACTTCATGAAAAAGAGCCACTGAGCAGAATCCATCAAAACCCTGAGTAAACTGTCGTGATTGGCAGATTGATTGACTCGACAGTGATCAATCAGTTGGGCAGTATACAGTTTGGTGGTTAGTGCTGATGCCTCACGGCAAAAAGGCTCTGGGTTCAATCCCCAGTGTTTGCATGTTTTACTTGTGTTTGCGTGGAATTTTGAACTTTTGGAGTTCATCAACGTGGACCTATTTTCAGTCATTTGGGCTGGTTTAGTAAGTAAACAAACCCACGTGCAGCAGTTCGCAATTTTTACATACAAATTTGTGACTTAAGGACAACTTAACCATTGATAAGAAAATTAAAAAAAATGATGCAGATTTTGCTTCGTACTTAATTATTATTATTATTATAATTATTTGCCTTCATGACATTGCATTTCAACAATGAGCCACCTCAGTGGCATGTGACATTTAAAATGTGCAGACAAAAACATTCCTGTAGACATAAAAGTGGCCTTTCACATCAAGATTTCCTGCTTAGGTAAGAACCACAACTGCCAGTGCCAATTTTCACACCGAGTCCGGTCTGTTTTTCCCTGCTTATACAAACTATGGGTTTTGTTCTTCCAGGTGCTTTGTGCCAAGGAAGCCAATTCATTACAGTTTATTTTATTTTATTTTATTTTATTTTTTTATTAATACTTGATTTTAGACTACTTAATCTGAACGGTATAGCATCTCCATGGTTGTGCCATTATGCCTGCAAGGCTATCTGGCAACAAAATTTGAAGTCTTTATAAAACTTTTAATAGCTAATGTTCATATGTGCACACATTATTTTTAATAATGGACTTTAAATGGACTTTTTAATAATATACTTTTACATTTTATTGTTGGATGTAACTGGGACCCTGTGTACATAAGTTTGTTCCACCACATGGAGTGCGAATGACAAATAAAGAACCTTGAATCCTTGAACATTATCACCTGGGTTAATTAGATATATAACCTCTGTCTTAGTTGATATGTCCAGAATAATAAAATTGTTTCATATTGCTGTGCTGTAACAGCTGAAGGTTAACAGGTAAACACACCTGCAGGCCAATGCTGACATCATACCACTGAAACATTGTCACTGAGTGCTGTTGTGTGTGCAAGCTGTTTTTAAAGTGTAGCTCCCACATGTTTGTACTGAGTGACTGTTTTGATGTTCCTATAATAATCTGTTTGCATTGAGTGTGACACAAGCGCTGTGCTAAAGTCACTATTTTCAACGGTGGCATGTCAAGGGTAGATCCTCTAAGCAAACCACACAATGACTGAGCTGAAATACCAAGGGTTTATTTGCTTCACTGCAAGTGGGAGCTTGTGTATGTTATGGTGTGTATTCTCGTCTACTTAAGAGCTTAAGTTGTCTGTTTTGGCTTCATAGGAGGAATTTTAAGTATGAATCCCCACTGTAAACAAAGTGTATATTAAGACTGATACATTTTTAGATCTCTTTAGCCCCACTTTTTTTCCTGTTTCTGCTATTATTCATGTTATGAGATTTGTTGACTCATCAAAAAAAAAAAAAAAAAAACTTGCTCCCAAATAACAACTTCAGAAATTTCAAGTCTTATTGCCAGTTAATATAATTTTAAAAACGTCAACAGTGAAGGAATGTTACAGTCTATGCTGCACAATAATGATAACATTTTGACCTTTCTATGACACCGAAAGTGTCACCCATCACACCACAGACAAACTGATTTTAAGATTTCAGTTCAGGATTTTCACTGCAGTGTTCTGTCTCGTTGGCTCTCATGTCACGTTGAGGAAAACAATAATGCTCGTAATCAAACTTTGAAGAAAATAACTCATTAAAATCATTAATATATGGACATTTTGTCTGACTTGTAAGCATTAGGAATCCTAAATTCCTGCCAAAGTAATTACACTCATACCTCTTTTATTAACTACTGTATCATATTTGTCAAGGCACCAGATTGTGTAAAGTCCATGTATAGTGTCAGTGTGTCAAGGTAAGTATAGGGCAACTAAATATAAAAATGTAAAATGTCTCATTTCAACCAAATTCATTCTGCAGAAGAAAAGAGGTGTACTTCCTGTGTAAAGAAACAGTTCATATGTTTGTTAATTGTGTTTTATTGATTTTTGTCCATTACAATGTTTAATTTGTTTTGTCTTTTTTAAGTGGATGTGACAGAAACAGTCACATGTGCATGAATTACCAGGTTGTTTAGCAGAGACAGATTGAGCCTTTAGTGTTAAAGTTAAAAATGGACTAACTTGTCTGATAAAGTACCCGATGAACTCACAATAGGGTTTTTATTATTTCCATTTGTGTTTTGATTTAGTACATGTCTTAGGTATGTTTTTAAAACAGGGTTTTACAAAATACAGTACCTTAAATTCGAAACAGACAAAAGTAAGAATGCATTTTGACTAAGGAGTAATACTTTGACATTTAAAAGGGAGTTATTGGCTCCCTGGCTCTCCTCAGGGCTGTGAGCTGAGACCTCTCCTGTTCACTCTGCTCACATATGACTGTGCAGCTACCCATCCAGGCTGTCACATTGCAAAGTTTGCAGACGATACAGCGGTGGTTGGATGAATCACAAACAATGATGAGTCCAGCTACAGGCAGGAGGTGGAACACCTGTAGAGCTGGTGCAGGAAGAACAACCTTCACATCAATGTGAAGAAGACAAAGGAGATGATCGTGGACTTCAGAAAGAACAAACATACCTCCTCCCCCCCCCCCCC